GAGTGTGCAGAGATGTTTAGCTCCAATGGTCTTTCTCCTCAGCCCCTTTGCCTGCCCAGTGGAATTACCAGAGCAGCAGTGAGCTGGACCTGTCTGAACCACAGGACTGATTTTGCAAGCTGGGGTGGGGCACTTCCCCTTTTGTCCTTCCTCACTTTTCCCCTGTCTGCAGCCTTTCCACACTTTTCCTCTTCACCCAGCTGTGTGTGAGTTGCAGTAGATTTATGTAATGCCAATGGTTGTGGTTGCCTGGTGGCCCCTCAGCAATGCTTGTGCCCATGCTTTCAAATGGTTGAGTTCCTTTTAAGGAAATAAAGCATCAAAGCTGCTCAGAGAGGGGACATTTGCATGCATCAGTAATTAGCACAACATGCAGGTTACAACCTCTGAATGTCCATGGCTGGGAGGAAAGACCCCAGGGTGTGAAGGCAATGCCAGGGTCCCAGTGATTCCAGGCAGCAAAGTCTGCAACTACACAGGCTTCTGCTTCAATAACTGAGTTGTGGGAGGGACCCAACATCATGACGTGGTATTTCCCACTGGGAGAGAAAAATGTCAAAAAAAATCTTTCTTTTAATGTCTCTTCCCATACTTATTTATTTATAACAAATAGAGTTTATAACTTCATTTGAATCTTGTCTGTTTTCTACTGATGTCTATCACCCTGACTGGTTACTTTGGGTATACCCTATGACGGTTTCAACCCAATTTTGTGATATTAATTCTCCCCACCTCTTAAAAAGAAGATCTTTACACATTAATTCTTCAGGCCCAGACTGTAATCTGTGACTACAGTAGTAACATTTGACTTCTCTCTTAGAATTTTATGGCCACCTGCAGCACCAGACAGCTATCTGTGCAGAAATGGTGAGCCCACAGCCTCTTTCTGAGGCCACTAACACTGTGAAATTCTTTATAGGTGATGGCCACCTATGGAATGGGCAGTTATGGATACAACAAGGCACTGCCTACCTTTCTAGACAAATGCCACCACTGCAGCAAATGGCGCTTTCTCCATGAAGTAGGGTGTGATCTACAGCCCACTGAGTCATTAACTTCCCACAGGGCTTGAATTAGGATACAGTCTCAGAGCACAAACAGCCCCAAATTGTAACTGTTTACTACACACAGGATGTTCAGTACCGATCATCCACAAAAGGTGCACACAAAGTTTAACCTGAAACTTGCAGAGACTGAGAATTATGAAGTAATATTTCCAAAAGTGTACCATGGGAAATAGCGCTGTTCAAAATAGGCCACAAAGCACTAATTCTTAATGGAATGGACTTTCAGTGGGATGTGTATTTCTAAATAAGTCAGACCAAGATTTCAAAAGGATAATTCTCTAGAGCCTTAAAGAGCTGTGAAAATCTTTGCTGAAAATGTTCTCTGTGTTTCCTAGAGAAACTATCTGTAGAGCACACGGGTGAAAGGAATAAGAAGAAAATAATAAAATGTTTTAGATGTCAGATCAGCCTGAGAAGTAAATTTGGGGTGGAGAATAGGATAAGGAAAGAAGAAGATCTATTGGACAGAGCAGCAGAAATTAAGCATGCAGAAGGAAGCTGCTCAACACATAGTGGCTTTTTGGGGGTTGCAACATTAAAATCATAGTAAGCTCATCGAGGAAATGAGGAGCCTCAATGGTGACCAGAACATCTCTTCCAATATGTTTCTGCTTTGCTGTGCTACTTGGGGTTATTACTAGAAACTGTTGATGACTTCACTTCTGTAAATTACCCTTTCACACCCGTTGATTATCTTTGCATTGGTCAGAAGAAACCCATATTTTGGGCATGAGTTGTCACCCCTGCCTGGGGAGACAAGCACCATACATGTCATGATCCCCTGTGTACCTCCTTTATGAAATTTTCACACTGTCTAGTCATTTTAAATGGTAATTCAAAAACTGATGACACCAAATAAAATCTGCCCAGTAGAGGACTTCAACACCTTCCAACTCAAGAAGAAATATTTCAAATGTTTCTATCAGCTCTGTAGCACCACATTAAAGTGCCAGTACAGGTTTGGAAGAAACACAAAAGGAGATTTTTGAAAGCATGTGGAAGAGTAGAGCCTATCTTTTTTTTTCCTAAAAATAGCTTATTTACTGTAATCCTTGACCTTTGAAATGCTAAATTGATGAAAAAGGTAATTAAACTTTTGGGTCCAGGGTTAAAAATTATTTCATTAAATATTACTACAAATCTGAGTAAGCAAGTTGTCATTGAACATTTCTATCTCACAGGTTGATTAAAATTAAAAACAGATTTCTCACCTAATTTCAGTAGGATGAGGTAAACATTTATTCTTTTCATTAAACAAACTTTCAATTCCCATTGTTACCGCTATAGCCCTACATGTACAAAAAAGTCCTCCAGAATGCAGAGACCCTCTTCATTAAATGTCTGACTCAAATTCCTTGGTGTATGCTTTACGGACAGTTGATCTCTCAGGGTGTTACAGGTTAAGTGGAATGCACTGTAAATCCTACACTGAAATAAACCCAAATGCTAGGGAATTCCCTTTTGATGAAGGAAACAAATGGGACATTGTTTTGAGATTGTTGAGAGAAATTGTTGGCTGGCCATATCTGCTCATGCAGGGCTTGTCGGCTACCACAGGACACAGTCTAGCTCCCACCTGCCAGATGTACACAGATAACACCAGTGGGTCTGTCTTTATAATACTCTCCTGTCTATCTTTCAATCTTCAAACTACTTTTTCAAATCATTCTTGTCTACCTAAGTTTGGTGATAAATTGCAGTGAAGAACAGATCTTGGGACTTGGCAATGACAGTGTTGTACTAAACGCCAAGCCTGTCTACAATGCCATGCCACTGCGTACATGGGAAGACAGCCCCCTTCACCCCTAAGACATCTATAGGATCACCTAGGCCAAACACCACTCCTAAGGTGTTATTTTATTCCTAAGAGATCTTCTTTTGATGAAGATCCAAAATGTGCACAGCAATCATATTGCTCCTGATATGCCTGGGGCATGTGCTCAGATCCTCTGTAAAAAGGGAGAATTAATTTTTTTAGTATACTGCTTTCAGAGAGCTAGCTTAGAGCTAGCAAAAAGGAGCAGTTGAAGATGTAAAAATGTATGCAGCTTTACAGAAAAGACAAACATTGCAAGCACTGGAGTCGATACCTACAGCTCATCCATAAAGCAGACTGTGAATTGTCTTTTTTTCTGTTGACTATGGTAAAAGTCTAACTACAAGATGTAACCCTTGTAAAATAAAGAGCTATGGGTAGAGAAAGTGGCTGTAGAAAAATTGTTAATGTCAGGACATCTAATCTAATGGGTGGAAAATCTAATTTATTGCTGAGTAATGAGAATAACAGATGGAACTTATATTTAAAATATGTGTACATACTGATATATGACTGATATGACTATATGATATATAGTCATATGACTATATCATATCATATGTATATGCTGGAAGAATCATTACATTATCAACAAGTATAAAGTTCAACTTTGCTGGATCTGCACAACATTTATGTGTATATTAAAGAAAATTCAACATAATGAAAAATCCTGTTTGGGTTTGAACAAAGAACTTAAAAATTAAATTTTTGACTCAAGGCTTAAGTATTTTGTAGGGCTAGTTACTGTGAAAGAAAGGAGACATAATTCCTTTTGAATTGATAGACAAGCATTTAATGAAAGATTTTGTCCAAAGATCTTTGGACTGAAAAATAAAGCATTTAATAAGTGATCAGATTGTTAAAAAGCTTTTTTAAATATGATTTTTTTCATAAAGTATGTCAATATGCATGTAGGAGCTGAAATTTTTGCTCACATTTTTAATAAGAGGGGATCAAATGGTAAATGAAGATGCATAAGATGATGCACTCACTACTAGCTAGTGCTGGAGTTTGGGAGTAGGTTCTATTCCTTGTGCTGACACCATCCTGCTGTATTACGCTGAATTAATTATTTTGCCTTCTGTGCCTCCCTTTCCACCTATATTCTTTACTGGACTTTCTTAGACAATAAATATTTAAAAGCACTTGCAATCTTTCTGTAAATCATCCACCCTGACCCTTACTCTTACACTAACATAAGAATGTAATAATGAGCAACATATTTATTTGTGGGTAAATGCTTGTACTTTGATAGTCATCCCTTTACAGAAATATTTTTATCATATAGGGCATCAATCACAGCATGCTGGAAGTCAGTGTGCTTTTTATATATCTTTTTTTCTTTTTTTTTTCTCCTATTAGTAAACAGGCATGGTGCTCAAGTAGTGTTTAGTCTTTTTTAGTGCACTACATGGGAGTTAGTGCATGAGGTAGTCAGCAGCATTGCTAGTCCTTGATGGGAGTCTAGGATCCTTAAGAATAATCAGAATTTTGCACAATCATCTCTGGATAACAATTTTAACCCAATAGATTTTATCAGTTGTGGATTTCTATCTAAAAGACAAGTGTTTTCTAAAATCCAGGTAAAAAATCAAGGATAAAGGGAGATCAGATATTAGAACCACAAATATATAAATACTATTTATGTTCTAATATGCATTTCTGAAGAAATCTGAATAGCAGGTAACACAATAACATTCATATAATGTTATTGAATAATAACATTAAATTATTAGATTATTAAATTAAAAGAATAATAAAATTATTAAAAAACACCTGAACATTTATTGAATTTTTATCAAATCTGACTTCATATAATTTTGACCTGGATCCATATATTTAATTCAATTTCCCAAACAGAAAGAAAACTGTCTTTCCTGGGGAGAATTTCATGCAACAGTCACGTTTTAGAAAGAAGTTAAATAGTAGGATCTTTATAAGTTCTCTGTGGATGAAGATGCCTTTCCCTAAAAAAAGGTTGCACAAAAAACACTATGTACCTGAAGAAGATGAAAAGGCACAGGACCTGCTTGTTTATTACCTTGTGAAAAAATAATTTAACATTATTACTACATCATCTACTATTACTTCTTATCATAGTGTATTTGTCACCTTACCCAAGATCCTGTCATTCTTAGAACTCTGCTGACCTCCACTACTAGTTGAAAGGTCCTCTGGTATAGGCATAGGTTCATCTGGATCATCAGGGACATCACTGGTTGGAGGACTTTCCTTTCCTAATAATGAGAAGAGCATCAATTAGTAGTCAGAGTAGTCTCATTTTCAAATAATACAATAAGAGGAACCACAAACCAAATAAAAACTTTAAAAATCCCCTAAACACCACTAAAGCAGGCTATTCTTAGGACCAAACCCTACTCTCCTGCCAAGAAAACTTCTTATGAATACAGGGGAATTATTTTTTTTTAAAAGAATGAATGCCAATGTCTCCAAGAAATTTACTGAGATACTCAGTTATTAGCCTTACCATTTTGGGTATTTGTGAGATATGTATGTTTTCCAGCTGCTATGCTCAGAAGATCCAATTTAGCCAACACAGACTGACAGATCACAAAGGTTATCAAATGGATATCCTTTTTAAAAACTCTTCTTTCTTCCACAAGTTCTCCTTGAGAACAACTGGATTTACTTCAAAGACATAGTGAAGTCTAACCCACAGGTATTCTGGGGCTCCAAAAGAACTACCTCAAAAATAAAGTTTTATCTTTAACTAAAAATTCAGCTTCAATGCCAGCAAGCTTCACTAATACCCACAGATAAAGCTCTGGCTGGTCCTTGTGCCTACAAGTAGTGAAGTGCCTGTAGGTAGCAGGACTTCTTAAACATGTACAATTAGCAGAGTTCACTAAACACACAACATTGAGGATTTTATTGTCTTCTGTTTGAAAATAGGAAACAAACCCCAATTCTTGAGTACACAAGGTTTTGCAGAGGCAACCTTGTGGAACTGTTTTAGTGCCAAATACAATACAGTAAGAAAAATAACTCTCTTGCCAAGTATTGTGCTTCCAAAAATGGTGAGGTTTCTTGATTCAGCCTTCAGTCACAGCATACATCTCTTGCCCATAGTAGTATCACTGTCTTGCAGAACTTCTTCTAAAATGACTGCATATATCTCTAACAAAAGCATGCCTTGGAAACATCTACTGAAGGAATTATCTAAATGATTAGTTTAACTGAATATTATTAAAAGACTGGCCTTTGCATTAATAGAAAAGAATAGAACAAGCCCAGAGCAGAATTCGAATGCAGTAATGTTCACGTAAGACCTTTGTCTTGAAAATGGAGATGTTACCAAATTACACTGATGTAATGGGTGCCCTTACCTTACACTGGTAAGGGCAGTAATTTTATAGCACAAAGCCCTGGCAAATTAGTGTTTTTTTTTCTAATGAGAATTCCCTCATTAAAACACAAACATCAATTAAATCTTAAAACACTTAAATGGAAAAACTAACCCAAATATAGGTTACTTTAGTGATAGCAGTTTAGTGGTGCCAGTTATGGACTTGATCTGAAAGAAGTAAATGGTTTCCTCCCTGCCTCTTGGATGGATCAAAGCATTGTGTTTTCCAATCTATACTGATTATCATGGGGAGAAATTACAGCTAGTTTTAAGTCATCTACCAAATCGGCTGTTTTGGGTTGTTTGCACAAACCTATGTTTAAATGAATGAAATGAGTATGTGACTGCATTTCTTAAGGACCCACCTATCAAACTGTGGAATAATCACTGAGCAGGAGTTTTGAGAGCAGCATCAGGTGAACCATCCCAAACTGCAGCCAGAAGACTCCAGGGTACTGAAGAAACAGTCCTGCACCAGCAGGGAGACTAACTAGATGATTTAATAAGGTCCCCCTCATACCCAGCTTCTGTGGGGTATTCTTAAATGGGCAAAGTCACACCCAGTGGATGTCAATGCAAGAGCAAAGGCAGATTGCATAAATGAACAAGAGGGAATACAAATTTTACAGAAAAAGAAAATAAAAGCAGGAAGTAAATTCACTATTTTTTTTCCATTCACTATTTAACTCCTTATTTAGTTTTTTCTTCAGATTTCTGGGATGTAGGGAACTTCCAGAACTGACAGAAATTTTCTATTGCAAGTCCTAACCTGCCAAATTGAAGTATCTCTTATAGATAAGATGCACAAGTGAGGAGAGACAGCTGAAATATTTCAGTTTGTTCAACACATTTTGCCCCACACACAAAAAACAAAACAAAACAAAAAACACCAACCAAAAAATCACAGAGGTTTAATTGGTGGGCAAGCAACAGTCTGGCAGCTCTCTTCACACTACACGTAAATTATGGAAATTCGTTAAAAAGTAACAGTAATCCAAAACTACTTGTGTCTTCCCGGATTAAACTGCGCTCCCAGTTACAACATTGATGCTTTGGCTGAGTCTAAGCTGAGAAGAACAATTATCCTAAAAACCTGAAGACTATTTTTGACTACAAATCAATATAAACTCATAATACCAGAACTATGGGATATGAAATAACAGACAAAATAATATCTTTATAAGTGTATTATTAGGCATCCTACAATACATAGTCTAAGTAGGATACTTTGAAGTCACAGCAATCTTTTTGGAATAGAAACCTGTTAGCAGGAGAGTACATTTGAAGTGGTGAACTCTTTGGTTCACTAAATGGGTATCAGTCTTCTACTTTTTAAATTAATAGCAGTTTTTCTAAATGGTATGAATTGGACTCGCCTCATGGACTTGGTGAGGCAGAAGCTGGAGATCAGGTCTGCTTCCCTCTTTGCAGGAGACTACAGTTAAAACTTAAGTAAACTTGTCTTTAATGACCCATTTAATATAATTTGATTTATTCCAGTTACACATGATTGAGAAATCCCTACATGCAGAAGAAAGGGCAAAAACAGTGGATTTAAAATACATCCATTTATTGAGTTCTGTTTCTTGGATTCTAGAGCATCACATTAGTATTTCATGCCTTACCTACATCTAAAACATTACACCATGGCAAGTTCATTACTGCATGACAATCTTACACATATAAAATCTCACTAACATTCTTTTTCCACTGAATTTAGAAATGGAAGCGGGGGGGAAGGTGAGAATGCCTTCTATTTTAATTTCAAACAGACGTGCCCAGAACAACAACTGGTCAAAGGAAAGGGAGCTAAACCCCACTCCAATACTTAGAGGCTAATACTGAGGAAAATTATTCAAAAGTCACATAACAGAGGAAAGTAGCATAAGAAGTGATATATAAAAAATAGAATCTAATCTTGGGGTGGATGGTGTGCTTTTTGGTTTTTTAAAATTAATTCTTATGAAGAGCCACCTTAGCTGTAGAATTGAAGTTCTGTTTCTGGTACTGCCACTGATTCATGTTGCTCTCGGTTAAGTCATAAATAGAAAGAATTACAACTGCAGGCTGTATCAAATATTTTTTTATTTCAATCTGCATCTCTGCAAGATGCTCTCAGATTTTCAACACTGCCATTTCTGTATAAAAATAGTCGGAGAAGAGCCTAACCTACCAGTGATGCCTGGCAAGACCCTCAGCTTCTCTCTATTTGAGTGCCCTCATCTCTGCCCTAGAAATATACTTGAAGCCATAAGGAAAGACAGGAAGGGAAAAAACTACCCAATTCAATAAGGTTTTAGTATTCTTTATTTCTGCCAAAGTCCTCAGCCTGGTGTTCCTTTAACATGTACATCCAGATCTGACAGCAATTCAGTTCATGCCAGAATGGTACTGCTGGCGCTTTGACTGTTGAAAATAAAGCCAAGGCAGGATATCTTATAAAAATCTCATTCCCTATCCTTTCACAAACTAATGCTGGGTGTGTGTATTTAATATTGAGGGTTTTTACTTCCTGCTTTTGCAGAGAGCAGCACAGCCTGGTTTGCTCTAGGAGATCTCTTAATGTTAGATGTGGAAACATTTGTACTGTTTTTTCACCTTCCTTAACAGTTAGGCCCTAGAACCGAGAAAAAAAAAAAAAAAAAAAAAAAAAAAAAAAAAAGGCAGGAAAAATATTGCTTGTTAAGTGAGATATTATCTGTGTTTTCTGACTCTCTTGTATGGGTGCCGGATACCATTTGCTTAAATGTATGTCAGCTCTCTCCTCATTTCAGAACTGCAACTGCTTGTCTCATGAAATATCACTTTCAGGAGAAAAATAAAAAGTGTGAACTCTGTGCTAGTCACACAGTATTTCAGTTCCTCTAGGAGTCAGCCATGCCTGGATTCCCTGAGGTGGGAATGCCTGTGTGCACACAGAGTTTGGCTCACCCACGTTAGTTTTATATTCTCCTGGCCTGGCTGGCCGCTGCCACACCCGAATCTACTGCAGCTACATAAAGCACACGGCCGCAAAACACAGAGTTTGAGCTGGGGTGACTGTTTCTAGAGACCTTCTTTATTTCTGGGCTGAAATGAAAAGCCCCAAAGAAACCCATCAAACTAAATTTATTTTTTAATTTATATTTTTTAAAAACACAACCAAGTGTGCTAGTGAACCATGCCCCCTAATTTCATAGGCCCAGAGAGCCAGCTACACCTGATGATCAATACTCAAAACAGAAGAAATGAATGTTTTACAGTTGACAGGACAATCTCACACTCCTGAAACTGTGCAGTTAGTTAACTTGTTCCCAACATATAGCAGAGCTACGTCATCATGCAAAGAAGCATCCCAGAAGCATGTAGAAACCCAGAAGAATCCAAGGGGAAAAACTCCTTTCTGCATTCACCGACCTATGAGAAAGAAGTAGGTAACATCCCTGTATCTTCAGATCCTCTACTTTTGAGGTCTAGTAAGAACTTACAAAGAGCCAGTATCTGTGGAATCTAATCTGACAGATGCTAATTTCCAGAAGGTGAGTTCCCACATAACTCTTACCATAAATGAAAGTAAATTAGGAAGTTGTTTCTTTGGCCAGTTGTTCATAAATTCAGCTAACAACCCAATACAAGTCACAGCCTTTGCTCACAGAAAGTACCAGGTGCTCAGTGACAGAAACGGCAGGAAGAGCTCAAAGCAGGCTTTAATCTGTTTGTGTAGGTCTCCCTTTTATCAAGGGTAACTTTCTTTTTCAAGAAAACCCTCTC